ATCCGAATCGGCCCCGCCGACCCGAGCGGTGTGTCACGTGGTAGAAATTAAAACAGATTTAAATAAAACTTTTTTAATTTTGTTTTAACTAATTAAAAGTGTTTTATTTAAATCTGTTTTGATTTCTGCCACGTGACACACCGCTCGGGTCGGCGGGGCCGATTCGGATAGGGTGTTACATTTTGGTCTATCAGAGAAATTGGTTTTAAAAGCGATTCTGAAAAAAAAATATTAATGGGTCTAAAATTATTTAAAATTGTGTGTTGCATTGCATATTAGAAGTCCGCCTCCCATCTCGGTATTTAGTGATATCATACACAATTAAAGTAATAATGTACCTTTTATAGTGGACTTTTGTTCTACACACTTATATATATATACGATCGCCTTTAATTTATATATTCATAAAGTACGTTACAAGTTTTACAAAGTCACAAAATAGAAAGACAAATTTAGTAAATGTTGAATGACTAGATTAAAATCAATTTTAAAAAATGTGACCATTTTTACAAAAGGACAAATGTGTGACTATGAAGGTGAAATATTTGAAAAAATATGATGTCACTGTCAAATTCTTATGTCACTTCACGATTTTTATCATTATCATATGTCATTCCCTATTTTTATGTCACTTTTAAATGTCACTATTGATTTTAAATGTCACTTTGCTATGTCACTGTGTCATAGTGAACTTTGTCACTGTGCGCTACAAACTCCATAGTTTCCATTCCGGAAACCGTCTCCACGCCGCCGCCGACAACTGTACCCTCCCCAGCCCCAACAATGTCCTGCTAAAAGTGACATCAACAACAATAAATCTCCGCCACCTACTGTGACACCGCACCCGGATGTACTTGAATTTGAAATTCAACATGTATTTGAATTCCCTAGCGAATAAAATTGTGTGACATGATTGGTATATTTAATTAATGCGTGACTAATTAAATTATTTATCGGGTCCCTAATAATGGGAATGGACTCCCAAATATTTAGTTGGGTCATCGTAATAAATTTAGAAGCCCAATAAAGTGCCAACTAAAGTTGATAAAAATGTTTGGACGAACCGAGTGCTATTTTGGCCCAACTTGCCAAAAATAACAGGAATAATTGGGAGGGACTTCCTACGCCCACTTGGGGTATTTTACACATCAACTAGCCTCAAATAATAGGTAGGGAGACAACCAAATATGTGTTGATGCGCACAAGAGGATGGGAAGCCCCCTAGAGACAAAAACCCACACCCCAAGTCTCACTCATGCATAGTACATGTGCCAAATTGAGTGAAGTACCTTCCTCCTATCCTTTGCAATCATTCAGCCATCACAAGGAAGAGAAGAGCTCAGGGAAAGACTCTCACAAAGTTCCAAGCTTGAAGGAAGCACCAACAAAAGAAAATCCAAGGAGAAAAGAGTTGTTCTTGAGGTAAGAACACATATGGTGGGTTAAACATGGAGTTCTACACGTTTAAAAGTGTAGAATATTGTTATAAGGTGGTGGTATTTAACTTAGAAGGGTCGTGGAATCGATAGGGATTGAAATCGGCGGAAACCGCCACTTAAAGGAAGCCATTCGTAGCTGCAGATCACGAAAGCCGCCCAACGTTTGCAAAAGCCGGCCGACTTTCGTCTGTTGTCCAGGATTTCCATCTCCAATCATTCTAGAACGGGGATTGATCGAAGGGCTTAACAAAGGCAATTATTACAGCACTTCATAAGGTGAGGATGGCTGACTATATTGCTTATAATTAGTGAGTTAATTTCATGAGATTACCTAAGGTAATTAAATATGTTTTTAAGGATTATTAATGATTAATAATGCCTAAGAATGAGAAGACTATTGTCTATAAGGAAAAGGACCATAATATACAAATTTTAAGAATAAATTGTGTATGATTATGTATTATGAGCATGTTGGCTTGATAAAGGAATTAACTATAAACTATATGTTGAAATATAATTTTTACTTCATATAAGAGTATATGAGTGATTAAAAGTTATATTTTGTATATTGATGTGAACTATATTTTCAAATGGAAAATTAGCTTGGGATTTGTCTATATGACTATGAACTGAAGATTGGTTGTGTTGGAATTTATCCGACTAGTATTAAGATACTAGTCGGGATATTGGAATGGATATGTTTGAATTGATCCAAAGGTTGGATTGTGAAATGTGGAACCTTAAGTAGTCCTAAGAGATACTAAGGTGGATAAGTATGAACTTTAAGTGATACTAGGGGTAGGCCTTAAGGGGTACCCAAGATAAAGTGAATAATAAATTGATCGTAGATATAGGACTGGCCTACGAGTGTGTTTCGGTAGTCTTTGAGGATAGCCGGTTGAGTATTGGTAAATAGTAAGAACCATGGCCCTTCCCGACTCTAGAGAGCGGGGTTGGATAGCATGGACTTACATCGTGATCACGGGTTAGGGTGGAATCCGAACCGGAGACTTTACGAGGCTCCCGATAGCGGTAACACTTAAGATAGGACCCCGAGTGGACCTTACCTTCCTACGGGATGATGGGTATGAGTTCAGGGGCGGGATGTTGGACTCCGGCCCGAGGGCCCGATGAGGCCTCGGATAGCGGTGACAAATCTCGTAAAGGATGATAAGACCTACGGGCGGTGTCGTGCTAACGACGGGTATAATGAAATATGAAAAGGGGCTGTGTGCCGACAAATTAATTAATTAACTTATTATTAAGATAATAAGGTTTAAAGAAGAACTATCATTATGTTATCACATCACTCTATTTGATGGTCTTAGAAATTGAAACATTGGTTATACTTAGTATAGTTGTCATTGTACTTGTCAAATGCTTCCAAGTACTGACCTCCCTTTCACGGGGGAGGCCACCTCACAGTTTCAGGTAGAAGTTGAGCTTGCTACCAGTGCCCATTGCCTCGGGAGAATCAGGGAAGGAAGACGTGGTTCGTGCTTCCTCCGCTTCTATTTTAAAAACATTTAAATTAATGCTCATGGATATTATTTTTTGAATAATTATTTGGGGGCTTGTATGCCCATGTTTCCCAAAGTGTGACATAAACACTTGTATTAAATGTTTCCGCTACTTTAAATGAATACTTTACATTATGTTTGTTTATGGATGTACTATGTGTGAATGATATTCAAGATGCCTAGTATAGTATGGATGAGTTGGACTGCGGTTGACTATTCGTACTGTACGGCGGGTTGTTGACGTGTCCGGTAGGTCCGGAGCGTGACACCTACCGTCGTCGTTTCACTAATTCCGGTAGCCGCTAATAGGCTGGGGTTATTTATGTATTTTAAACAATATTCTTCTATTATAAATATATATATGCGAAGGCTTCTTAGAGGCCAACTTGTTCCATTCTCTCACATGGTATCAGAGCTACGGTTCAAACCTAAAGTTTTTCCATTTTCTTCTCTCTCTCCTAGAATCGCCGCACAAGACTTGCAGCGATTTCTGCCGCAACCGCCTCCCTCTCCACCTCCATGGTGTCTTCTGTTCCGGCGAGCGCTAGCATCAGCGCATCTCTCCATATGTCGACGACCAGCGCCCCATCATCATTGGATTTGTCAGGGCTCCTTAGAGGGCAACATGTTTCATTCTCTCACAGCCGCCACAACATTCCGACCGCCTTCATTTGGTCAACATGGCTTACCGCCGCCGTCGACAACCCCTAACCCCCCACCCCCTCCCCATCCCTCCACAGTTTTAGTCCCATCTTAGCCTCCTGACTTTCCCCCAGGCCCCAACCCCCCCTCCCTAGCTCCAGCTCCAGCCCCAACCAACCCAACCTAACCCTGGGTCCACCACTCCCCAACTCGGATCTATCCTAGATCTGCACATCCCTGACCCCGGTCCACCGTATCCCCCCTCCAGTCTCAAACCCTGGCCTTCACCTGTCTTTAAACTTAGCCGTTGTCGCCATCTTCGAAGTCTGAAGCCTAGCCCCCACTGCATCGCCAAACCCTTGTCTCCACGCCGCCACTGACACCCGTACCCTCCTCAACCCTAACCATGTCCGACAAAAAGTGACATCAACAACATTAAATCCCCGCAATCTACCACCGCCATATCACTAACTCCGGCCGCCACCACAACATTCCGGCCGCCGCCATTTGGCCAACCTGGATTACCGCCACCGTCGACAACCCCCAACCCCCTCCCTAGTCCCAGCCCCCTCATAGTCCCTCCCCAACTCTAGTCCCATCACAGTCTCCTGACTTTCCCCCAGCCAACCCCCCCCTCCTCAGCTCCAGCTCCAGCCCCAACCAACCCAACGCAGTCCCCGATCCATCCCTCTCCAACCCGGATCTATCCCAAATTTGCACATCCAGGACATCGGTCCAACATTCCCCTTCCATCCTTAAACCCTACCTTTCATCCGTATATTAACTTAGATGCCGTCGCCATATCCGAAGTCTGAAGCCTAGCCCCCGCTGCATCGCCAAGCCGTAGTGATTATTGCCATCGCCAAGCTCTAGCTGCTGAGAACCTCACCACAGATCTGGACACAAGGACGACGACGATAGTCTCGTTCTACATTGGTCGTCCGTCTTGTCACTGCTTCATCTATCAGCACAGATTAAAGATGAAGATAAAAAATCGCAACAGAATGTAGATGAAGGCGGCGATGTGGGACGCCGTCGAAGGCAGAGACGTCGATGTTGGCGGAGGTGACGCTTCGAATGTCGTTGGAGGAGGCGACACCAAATGCTGGTGGAGGTGGTGATGTGATGTCCGGCTACGTAAAGTGCCTCATGGATATAGTCGACAAAGAAGTTGCCGAATAGTTGAAACATCTACCCAAAATAGTTGGTCACTTTTTTATTTGTCAAGTTTAAAAATAATTAATGTTTTATCTATTCAAACCTTATAGGTAATATTTTTGTCATCATGAATACTTTATGTTTGAACAAATAAATTTGAAAACCATCATTAAATTGGGATAGAGATAGTAATAACTTGTGTGTGACAGATTTTGATTTATACACAAAATTCACTCACCAATTGAGGTTAGCCTAAGAGGATATTGCACTATTGCAGACTTGCAGTGGCGGGGAAAACCCAGAAAAACCCTTGGTTTTTAAAGAACCACCAAATCAAAACCTATTACACCGATAAAAATATTCGGCGGCAGCGTTGAGTTGTCCTGCGCCTGAGCAAAAACGACCTTTTAGCCGAACCGAATCTGTAACGGATCGATGTCAACATCGGGGCAGCCGCAATTTCGGTACACGCAGACACCATCTAAGGTTCTTCACCTGCGGAACCTCCCATGGGAGTGCGTCGAAGAAGAGCTAATCGAGCTGTGCAAACCCTTCGGCAAGATCGTCAATACTAAGCTCAATGTTGGCTCCAACCGCAACCAAGCATTTGTTGAATTTGTAAGTTCCTTTTCTCTGTTCTTGAGTTAATTAATAGATGCTATCAAGGTATTCCAATAATTTTGTGAAACAAAATACAAAAAAAGTGGGAGAGGTCCTAAATTATATTGAATCAATTGCACGTTCTAACATAATAGAATTGGAAGACTAATTTCTGTTATTTGGAGTGATGAGTAGGTGCAGTTTGATTCATCATCACCTGTATACCAATTACCAACTCTCTTGGGGCCATTTCATGTGTTCGGCTGAAATTTATAAAGTTATGGCTGAAGTGGCTGAAATTTATAAAATCCGCTTATTTAAGAATAAATTATTTTTAAAATATATTTTATTAATAAAATAAAGAAAAAAAATGGTCCTCATCTACAGTAACATCAGCCAATGCAGCCAGAAAAGTAACTACAACCTTACTTTTTCTGCTTATTAAACAATTCAGCGCGCGAAAATAAAAGTTATGTGTTTGGTGAAAAAGTTGGCTGATAAGCCTGATAAGCCGAAAAACAGTGTTTCCAAACGGCCTCTACAAGTTCATGGAATAGCATTGTGTGAGTGTTTTATGCTGGGTGTCATTGTGTCAGTAATGACCCGAATTTATAATTTAATTCCGTTAACAGTGAACGGCAATTTGTTAAGGTAGTTGTTATACTCATGTCCCATTGCAAAACTTATATGGCAATATCAAGATGCATGTCATGTAAAATACATGAACGGAGCAGGTAAATCTAAATCTGAATATGTAAGTTCAGAATTCCACAAGTCCTGTCACCTGTGCAAAAAGAACCTCACACTAAATTATGTAACATGTTTTCAGCATGCACACAACATCTTAATTCTTAATGGTGTATGGCAAGGATGGATGTATTTGGTACATCTTTTGATTTATAGCATTTAATAAATGAACTCAATCTCATAAGATAATAATTCACATGTAAACACTAGTGTGGCAACTCATGTCTGATACTGTCATACATTCTTGGTTCTACTATAGTGTCTGGCTGTCTTCTGGCCATAGATCTTCTGTTCCTGGTGATGTACTTCTTCTGTACTAAAATGATTTGTTGTTTGAGCATGTTTGACACAGTTGTCCATTTTTTCTCTAAATACATGACAAAGTTAGTAATTTGCTATCATATAACTGGAATCAAGGACTGCTCAGTGTACACTGACATTGGCGTCCCCGCAAGGTGAGGGTCTGGGGAAGGCTTCCACCAAGGGTGTATAGGGGGTAAGCCTTACCTTGTCAATTTGACAAGAGGCCGCTCCCAGTACTAGAACCCGTGGCCTCTTGGTTTCATAACAACACCTCAACCGGTGTGCCAAGGCCCCCCGCCCCCCTTCATAATAAGATTGAAATATCTCACATTAGTTCTTTAATGAAATACGAAATACTATGAAATATTAATGGATGAAGTTAGGCATAGGTTACAACAACAACAACACTACCCCAATGCCGCAAAGGCTTCCCACCTATAGTGGGATAAGGGGGGATCAGATGTACACAACCTTACCCCTATACTGAAGCACATAGAGACTATTTCCGGATGACCCATGATGAGAAACGCGTCGAAAATTGCATGGACTGTCTGCTGCTTCATAACAAAGGAGTGCTGACAATTTAGTGTGGCATTTTGCTTTATTCCATGATATTCCCGCGCAAAAAAACAGTGAGTCTTTGGCCCTATTGGAAATGATGGAAAAAGTTAGGCATAGGTTAAAACTAGAAAATTAAGTATTAATTCTTCCTTGGTAATCTAAAGTAATACTTGTTACACAACACTCATTTTTTAAGGGCCGGCATATGTAGTATATCTTATTGGCCGTACACTGCAGAATTCTGATTATCTTGCGTAGTAATGCTTTTGTTGGATTTGAGGCTTTGAGTTGTTTGAGATCGCAGTTATATACTTATAAATACTACTCCCTCCGTCCCACTAACAATGGGACACGAGGGAGTGACACGCAAACCAATATAAGGTGGTTTCTGTGGTTGATATTGAATTGATAAAGTAAGAATAAAGTAAGAATGATTTAGAGACACACAAACTTTACCAATTTTGATATGTGACAATCTTAGTGGGATGGACCGAAAAGGTAAAAGTGAGACAATCTTAGCGGGACGGAGGGAGTAGGATTTAAAAATCTGTAATCCTTTCTTTCCTTTTTCTATTTGGCTGAGGAAAAGGGGCTGGGGTGAGCTTAGATAATATAACCTGGAGTTCCATGAATCCCACAACCTGAGTATCTGACATATGTTATTGTGCAGGCTGATCTTAATCAGGCAATTAATATGGCCACCTACTATGCTTCATCTTCAGACCCTGCACAAATTCGTGGCAAAGCTGTGTATATTCAGTATTCAAACAGGCATGAAATTGTCAACAACAAGGGCCCTGGAGATGTTCCGGGCAATGTTCTACTCGTAACTATTGAGGGCGTTGAAGCTAGTGATGTCAGCATTGATGTCATTCATTTGGTGAGTATGCTTCTCCATTCTCCAACCTATGAAATCATTGCTATACTGAGTAGATTAGATTATCCATAAGAAAAAGACTTCATTAATTGCAGTAGGACTGTAGCCAGTATGTGAGTGCTCTTATTGTCATGAGTTGATTACAGATACTTTTGACTAACATGCATTCATGATAACCAAATGTTCAAAATTGTTTTTTATTTGATGTTTTTGGTTAATCGGAAGGTGAAGAAAACTCCAACACTGCCTCTTGGTTCATTAGTTATATGTATTTTGTAACCCTATCCGGAACAAGGGGCGAGGCTTTGCTTTGATATTTGCCTAAAATTTCATTCTTATAAGCTACTTTCTTATTATGTTATATACTTGGCTATTATCCATCAATTTTGGGTCCTTAAGATTTTGCTTATGCGGGGAACTTGCACGGGTGTACAATATTTTATTTCAGAAAATTCTTTTTTGCCCTACAATTTTACTTCAGAAATAGATTTACTAAACTATTCATTGTTGACTCAAGTTAGTTTAATCACAGATGGTCATAATTTAATATCTTTTGTTGGAGACACTGGATAAATTGTCATTTGGGTCGTACAAATATCTATGGCTTGCCTATACAGGTGTCATTCTGGACTTATTCTCACACTTTTGTGATCTCTTTTAATGCACCATTTAATTTTTGGGAACTTTATATTATAACTGTTTGCTTAAATCTTTGTTTACCTGGCCTAATAAACTACTTATGTTCATGAACGATTATTCTTAGGTATTTTCAGCCTTCGGTTTTGTGCACAAGATTGCTACTTTTGAAAAGGCAGCAGGCTTTCAGGTCATTTTGTGTTCTACCACATTTTAAAGTTTTAACTAATTGCTGTTCCTCCCCCTCCTTGCCATAGAATACACTTTGTAGCTGATATACGTGTACTACATTTTGACAGGCTTTGATCCAGTTTACAGATGTTGAGACTGCAGTTACTGCTAGAGAAGCATTGGACGGGAGATGCATCCCAAGGCATGGATTTGTTGCTTTTAATTAATTAGTATTAGTTACTATACCTGTGCATTGTTTTCATTGTTCATTTTTTGCAATTCCAGATTTTATTCCAACTAATAAATGTACATTATTCAGGTACCTGCTCCCTGAGCATATTAATGATTGTAATCTGCGCATTGCATTCTCTGCTCATACTGATCTTAATATAAAGTTCCAGTCCAACCGGAGCAGGTATGGGAGCTTCTTTAGTCCTTTTAATTCCAGTTTTTATCTTCAAGCTCTTTTAAGATGTATTGATTTTTACTTTTCAGAAATTCTAGGGGAACATGGAATATTGGCATTACTATGTGACATTCTTATTTGCCGCATACTCATTGTGGTTGGAAAAGTTAACAATATGATAATTACCCAATTTATATTTGATACCTAAGAATGTCACTTATTAATATTTTTTTTCCACGTCTCCCTAGACTTGCTCCTTAGAGACTTAGAGTAGATCACCATTGAATTCTTGCTAATAGATATATATGCTTCTTGTCCTCTAGGGCTTAGTGAAGCTCGGCAGCTAAAACACAGTTGTTTTTGCCATGGATACTTAGTAATTTTCTTAATCTCAATGTCATGTTATTTTATCGAATCTGCGAATATTAACTGCTGAGTGTTCTGTAATTACTTATTTATATTATATACTAAACTGACCAAATAGCCTTGTTTTTTAGTTTAGTGTAATCTTTTTCTCATTCTTCAATTTACAAGGTCTAGCCATGCTAGATCCATTGAAAAACATTGCCTAGGTGCAGCTCTTTTGATGATTTTATTTTATTACCCTCCTTTTTATTTTTCTATAAACTTTGTTTCTTGGAAGGTCTTTCTTTTCCTATGGAATATTCAATGTATTGCATACACATATAATATAGTTTTCTACATATATATATGCTTCATTTACGTAAAGTTGGCATTGTTTTTTGTTCAAATGCAGAGATTATACAAATCCATATCTTCCTGTAAATTCCACTGCAATGGAGGGATACATTCAGGTCTTTTTTAGTTGTGCATTTAGATACACTTTTGCATGTTGAACATCTGGTAACCCCCTGTTATGATGTACAGCCTGTTGTAGGTCTAGATGGTAAGATAAAAGAGGCAGAGAGTAATGTGCTTCTTGCCTCCATTGAGAATATGCAGTATGCTGTCTCTTTGGATGTCCTTCATACGGTATAATAATATTATAATTTTCCTTCTCAGTTCCTTTTATGTTAGCCTGCTTAACACCAGGTATTACTTCTAACTCATATGTATGTTGACAAGGTATTCTCTTCATTTGGTACGGTCCAAAAGATTGCAATATTTGAAAAGAATGGGGGAACACAAGCGTTCATCCAATATCCCGGTGTGTATTGTAGCATATACTTTCCATATAATGTACTACTCATGCACAAGGCTTTGTTGATTGTACCTTGAGATTTGACATTTTTATTCATTTGCTTGTTAAACCCCTGGCATAACCACTAAGGCATGTTTGGTTCCTGGAGTATGATGGGTGGGGGTGGGGGGTTCTATCATGAGTGTTTTTGGTTTTACCCCCAAAAACGTGAAGGAAAATGAAATGTGACGAATTTTTCTTTCTTTCTAAGTTTAAGTGTTAACAAATGTTTGAACAAAAATGCTTTATTTATACTCACTTTAAACAAAAATAGAAAAAAAATATATAGTTTGAACAAATGCTTTATTTATAATCACTTTTTCTTTCCTTCCATATTTCTCCTATTTTTCCTCCCAGTTTCCTTTCCCTGACATTTCCTTTGATTTAAACGGACCCTAAATGATTATACTGGCATTGGTTGCCTTTTACACATCCTTGGAGGCTGGACGATTTCTCTTGCATTTAACTGTTAGATACCAAGATCGAAAGGGGGAAATCGGTGTTTATTAAGAACGTGAATGAAGAACAGAAATGAAACGATGCACGCTTTAGGCACTTAGAGCAGCCCATCTCTCCCAAAATCCCAGCCCAAGTTTCAAGTTCTGCCTCCCTCTATTCTACTCCCCCAACTCCTATTTATTCTTTTTCATATGGGCTAGCCCAGTGCTATATAATTCAGGGTCTAAATCTCTTTTATTGTACAATATTAAAAGACTAATATTATTCTTATTACTAGTACTATCTAGGTCTCTATCACTACTCTCCCCCCTTTGACAACCACCTTGCCCTCAAGGTGGGGAGTAAGTAACAGCCATGCCATTCAGCTTCATCCTCGCGCGTCTCCCTTCCCAGTACCTCCTTGATTTCGGGGCTAGGAGCTTCACTTCTTGAACCTGCATCTTTATGTTCTTCAACGAAAGACAGAGCCAAAACAAAGACATGGTGGCAGAATGCTCTCTTATGTTGCAAAAGTTAGAATCTTCCAGCAAATGCATTCCTTGCCCTTCTTCTATTGTCTCATGTTCCACAATGTCTTTGTACCTTACATAGTAAAATATGTTTGCAACCTTAACTGCCTGTTCCTCGCCCCGTTGATAACCAAAGACCATATCAATCCCATGGTGAAGAATTGAGCTTGCATATTCACTTTCAGCCCGCTTTCTGATTGTCCAGAAGATCTTAGGAATATCAGAATTTGAAGCCATGGCTACAGAAACGACAGCTAGTCCACTATGTTCCAAACGCAGGGATTTAGGTAAGAGTCCACCCAAAATACTGCTTTTCGTCAAAGGCAATGCTGCCTCATCCCCACCCTGAAAAGCTTGATGGACATGATTAACTGAGAGGAGCTGAGCAATTGAAAGGAGCTTTGATCCCTGATGTAATAAGGAAAAATAAAAAGCTCCAGTACTAATAAGTTTTATCATTGTTTTTTGGATTCCTAATAACAACAACCTTCAGCAAGGCAACAGCCATCTCTACAACACTTGACTCACCAGAAAACATAGCCTGTGCAATTTGGGGAGGACACCTTGGGCTTGATAAGATCCTCTTGATCTGGGGTATTGGTTTTACTATTTCCCCAGCATCATCTATGTCCGAGTATGCAGCCACCCTGCTGTGCAATATGAATGATATTGCCTCACCAACCTGGGGTTTCCCATCTCTGTCATATAAAATGCTGGTATAAGCATAGGTGAAATTTATTCCCCATCCACCAGCTCTAGTACTCAGAAGTAGTATCATATAGGGGCTGTTCACATCATTGAACTCTTGAATCCGTCTTCTTCTTTCATCTAATTTGACATTGCCATCAATTCTGCAGACTTCCAACTTCATTTGACCAAGACAATACTGAAGTATGTCAATCATTTTAGTCCACTGAGAAAAAATCAGAACCTTGTGTTTTTGTTCAAGCAGTTTTCCAGTCCAACACCCTAGTTGTTGAACAAACATGCCACTTGCACAATGGTACAAAAACTGTCAGCAGTAATAAATTTACCCTTTATCATCATCCCAGGATTGACCTCTGAATGAGTGAAAATTTATCCTTCAATTGCACTAGTCTGTGGATCATTATTCACCAATTGCTTTGCTAGGGTACCCCAGAATAATACAAAGCCTTCACCCACCAGAGTTTGGTCGTGACTTTCAGCATAAGCAACACACTTCTCCCTCCAAGGAAATGATAAGTAGTCTGTTTCAGCTCACGCTAACGCTCCTTCAAACAACCTTCTAATTGTTTCATGCTCTCCCCTACAATAATAAACTGTCTGTGCCATGCCTTCACACAATAAAGCGGGTCCAGGAAGTTTGATACGATAAATGACCTGATCTAGTTTTTTATCTCGTTCAGATGAATCAACAGATTTTGGCACGGCTTTCACTAGAGTCGAATAATAAATCTTATCACCTGTCCGTTTTGACTTATCTGCGCTTGCGCCTTCCTCCTGCGCTTTTGGTTCTGACAACCTCACAACCTCAACTCAATGTTCATTGTCGGCGATGAAGTTCCCGGTGATCCATTTTCGGATTCTGCTTGGTCTGGGGTTCTGAAAACTGATGAAGCTTGCACATGCTGAGAAACGGCTAGCGTTGACGAACTGTGACATGCGGCCAGCAACGACAACTGCGAACTGGTCGTTGACGACAGGTGAGGAGCGGCTACTGATGACGAAGAGTCTGGCGTACAGGAAGAAGATGCTGGCGATGGCGTACTGGGACTATGAGACGTGGCTAGAGACTGAGAAGAAACCTGCGAACTAAGAGAAGTTGCTTGCCACGGAACCTGTGAACTTAGCGATTAAGACAAAACCTGTGCACTTCGCGATGCACTGGGAGACTTGGTTTGCGAGGATGACGAGCACTGTCTTTCTTTTGGGTGACGACGTCCAGGAGGGCTCCTCGTTCGGTCTCTATGTTGCCTGCGACGAAGTTTGCGCAACATGTGGCGCATCCCATCCAGCGACGCGTTCATCATCGTTCTCATCTCCTTCCACGGACTTTCAATACTGTCCATACTCTTCTCCATCTCTTCTTCAACTGTCTTCCAACTTGTTGATGCTGATGATCAATTCAAGCTCCAGGAGTGATTGCTCTGATACCAATGTTAGATACCAAGATCGAAAGAGGGAACTCGGTGTTTATTAAGAACGTGAATGAAGAACAGAAATGAAACGATACACGCTTTAGGCACTTAGAGCAGCCTATCTCTCCCAAAATCTTAGCCCAAGTCTCCAGTTCTGCCTCCCTCTATTCTACTCCCCCAACTCCTATTTATTCTTTTCCATTTGGGCTAGCCCACTGCTATTTAATTCAGGGCCTAACCCCCTTTTATTTTACAATATTAAAAGACTAATATTACTCTTATTATTAGTACTATCTAGGTCTCTATCATTAACTTATCCTGCCAATATATGACCTACATTTGTTGAGCCAAATGTAGTATTTTTGCGAACATCTTCAGTTGTCTTCGTATTTGCTTTCTTTTAATGCATTTGGTTCCTCTGTAGCTTCTGATATCCCATGTATTGCAGATGTTGCAACTGCAACTGCTGCAAAAAATGCTCTGGAGGGACATTGCATCTACGATGGTGGCTATTGTAAGCTTCATCTGTCATACTCTCGTCACACTGATCTGAATGTGAAGGTATGAGTGTATTTCTGAGTTAATATTTGGGAAATATACCTATAAGTAACAATATGTAAGCTATAATCTATCAACATGAAAATGATAAGTGGGCTGCCGGTTTATGTTGTATATGGTATGTTTGTGTCATTTCCTCTAGCTGGTAGATGAGATTTTGTGATAACATCTACCATCTAGGAACAAATTTTTATTTGATTGTTAGATAAAAGAATAAAATTGAAGATTAAGATTTCTTTTTATTGGCAATTGTTATATTAGATTAAAGTAATATTTTTCGGAAAACGTTTTGTGCATTATACTACCTCTGAGGTACTCCCTCCGTCCCCTTTTAAATGTCCCGTTTTACCATATTGGGATGTCCCTATTTAATTGCCCCATACCTTATTTGGTAAACTTTGTGTGGCTCAAAATCATTCTTACTTTATTCTTACTTTATCAATTAATATCAACCACACAAACTCACTTTTCTTAAAACCCGTGCCACCATCTCCCGTCCCATTTAAAAGGGGACGGAGGGAGTAGGTTTTAATGAGGAGGTGGCGCGGTTTAAAAAAAGTATGTTTATGTGGTCGATATTTAAATGATAAAGTAAGAATGATTTATATACACTCTTATCAAATTTGGTATGAGACAATCTTAGTGGGACGGACTAAAAGCGAAAGATGAGACAATCTTAACGGGACAGCAGCGAGAGTAGGTTTTTGTAGACCTTACACAAAGAATGTTTTATGTATTGTAGTAGTACTGAATAATTTATTAAATTGTCATATACTTTATTAGTGTACTGTAGTTTCTTTTAGGGTTGATTTCTCCTAAAAAGGAAGGGTGATAATTAATTTGATACAAACTGAAAAGAAATATGAGACAAATAAATTAATTAAATACTTCTTGGTCAAAGAAGTGATTTTTTAATTATAAGACAACTTTATCAAGCTTCATTGGCCCGTTGTTGATAATTGGTCATTACTAATTGATTGGTAAAGTATAAATAAATTTGATCTTCAAAATATTACTAAAGGTGGTATGAGACAAGTTTCCAAACAGAAGAAAAATGAAAATTTGGACTGAAATAGCGGAACAAAAGGCGTAATATATAATTAAACTTCAATATTTTTTGTCTTGAAAGAGTCTTTGAAAAGAGGAATAACATAATATCAATTTTCCTTAGCAATTTATTTTTCTGCAATCAGACTGAGCCCAAAAGAAAAGCTCTTTGTAGTACTAATACTACGGGTAGCATTTTATTTCATCTACTTTATTCCATTTTTTCTATTTCATTTATCCCCATAACTTTTCATCATAATCATCATAGGCAAGCCTTTTCGATTTCAATCAATCATCATTTACCCCAGTGCCGCAAAGTCTCCCACCTATGGTGGGGTAAGGGGGGGTCAGATGTACGCAATCTTACCCCTGTTCTAAAGCACAGAGAGACTGTTTCCGATGTATCAAAAACAAAAATCATAGGCAATGCCCTTTTATATAATTTTACGTTTTCTAATATTCAACATTTAATCTGGTAATCATATGATTCCCATCTTACCGTCTTGTTGTGTCAAACATTACACTGAATAAATAAACAAGTGCCATTCAATACGATTATTTAACATGATGTAATATTCCATTCCAAGCAGGCATACAGTGATAAAAGCAGAGATTACACAGTCCCGGAACCGGCTTTGCGTCCAATGCAACAAGCTCCGGCCTTCTCTAATAACAATACATCGGCGACACAAACTTGGCAGAACTCTCAGTTTGTGGCTACACACCAGCCTCCAGCCGGGTATGGAGGCCCCCCTCCTCCCATGCCCTCCCAAAATAACCATTGGAACCCGACCCAACCCGGAAGACCGATCTTCCATCCAAACGCAAACACCTTTCCAGGTCAAGGCTTTTCATACTCACACACTCTTACTCCTCCGGGTGAGCCTCCTCGTTAGCTGAATGGATGAAAAAGCTGTTCATGTAATTTGTGTGCAGTCATTATTTGTCTCACTCGAGTAAACAGTGATTGTTTCTTTTTCAAAAACTTGATTGGATGCAACTTTTTTTTTTGTCGCTGAGTGGGATGTGATGGGGATGAAGCTGGACGGATGCAGTGGGGTGGTTTGACTAATTCTGGGGGCTAATGCTAATAGTGTTGAGTTTAAATTTAATTATTGGAGGGAGGGGTGATTATGAAAGTTGAGATCTGGGGTATATTTGCGCATTAAATATATGACTGTTCTGAGGCACATGCGAGAGCACTATATGTGACAATGTCTGAGCATGACGTTTTTGACGTTGTCATAACTGCTTCATGTGCGTCCCTCCAACGACCCTTAGGTAAAACCATAGACGCGTGTGTCTCTTTTGGCAGCTGTCGGGCACACCTGTTTGACGGCCTTATTTTTCTCACCTTATTAGTGTATGTTAATACGCTATGATTAACTTTATATTCCTCAATTTGAAAAAAAAAACAGAAAGTAATTGCTCCATGGATAAAGTACACATGTACTCCCTCCCTTATTTAAAAGATCCATACGTTAGTTATGGGCTTATGACACAAGTTTTAAGATAGAATAGTAAGAGTAATGAATAGTATAAGAAAAGTAGGAGAGAATATGAAAAAATAGGAAAAAGATGATAAAAAGTAGAAAAATAAGGGTTGTTGAGTATTTTTAAAGGAAAAACTTACTAAAAAGAAAAAATGTATGAAACTTTTAAATACATTCCAAAATTCAAAGTGTATGAAACTTTAAAATATGGAGGGAGTAGGATTAACTATATTTATCATCAAAATAAGATTTATTTGGTTAGGGGTGAGATCACATACTAACCATTCCTCTCATGTTAACCTACAAACTATCAAAAACGGTGCATCTTTACATTATTTGTACTGCATATTGAAGTTCAAAGTGTTGCATATTATTTGTACTGCATATTAAAGTTCAAAGTTTTGCATATTGTTTTTATTGCATATTGAAATTCACAGTGTGCATCTTTACATTATTTGTACTGCATATTGAAGTTCAATGTGTTGCCATATTATTGAGTTAGTAAGTTAGTATTTTAAGCATGGTTAGTATGTGATCTCTTATCTATTTCGTTATAGTGTTATACAACCTTATTTCATACGAACTTCTCTCGTTGTTTCCGAAATACTCCGTATAAAACTTTATGTCTTAACTCTTAAATATAAAACTTTATGTCAAGACTTATGACTATACTCCTAGCTTCCAAAATGATTGCAAGAAATATATTGTGAACGTTCATGATTTGGCCACATCTAATGCATTAATGATTTAATGGACGGTCCTATTGTTATAATATTTGTGTAGGTTATGTAGTCAAGTCATTGACATGCTCACCAAATTCAATTAGATTTTTTTCGCAAGTAATTTGAGTAGATAATAGTCCCATTGAGAGTTTTGGGTTTGACACTTGCCTGATGAAAAAAATTATCTTCTAATAAAATTATTTCAGAAGTTTATCGAACTGGACATATTAAATGTGAATATGATATAATTCAATACCTCTGGGATTATGTTCTATTAACTTCAATGAATTTTCTATAGTAATTAAATTAAGTAAGGTTATGGTTACTTTTTGGGAAAATAATTTAAGGGAAAAATAATAAAAATACCCCGAACTTTGAAGGGGTGTGAGGTAAACACCCCAAACTTGCACATGTAATTTAAATACCTCAAATTTTATGTAAAAGTAATTTTTGCACCATCGTCGTGTATTATTTCTTTCAAAAATGTAAATTTATGGGGTAAATTGCACAATTTACAATAGCAAATTAAAAGTGTTACAATTATATAGATTGTGGGTAACATTATTTATTTCAATATGAAAGTTTAGAATGTTGATTGTGTATTCATGAATTCTAAAATATTTTAAATTATACAATTAACAACATAAATTTATATTTTTGAAGAAAATAATACTTGACTATGGTGCTAAAATAACTTTTTATACAAAGTTTGGGGTATTTAAATTACATATGCAAGTTTGGGGTGCTCATCTCACACCCTTCAAAGTTTAGGATATTTTAATTATTTTTCCCATAATTTAAATATCTCAAACTTTGAAGGAGTGACATAAGTATTCTAAATTTACACATGTAAGAAGTATACCCCAAATTTTATATAAATGTTAGTATCATGATCATATTTTTTTATAAGTGTGATTTTATGGTGTTGAGTATGTAATTTTAGAATACACATAAGATTTGTGATGATACGATTAAAATAAATTGTATTGAATGTAATTTTATTTATGTCAAAAATGAAATAATTTTAAACTTTATATCTAACAAGGTTTAAAGTTTTTTAAATTATATAATTATTCCGATAAATTTGTAATTGTAAAAAACATATTGTCATGATGCAAAATAACTTTTAATATAAAGTTTTGAGTATATATACTCCTTCCGATTCTAAAGAAGTTCCGATTATGACTTCACACATATTAAGAGACTTTACCGTAGAGTGCACTGTTTTACACTGTTTGGACACTGTTGGCACTATTTGACACTGTTTTGATGTAGATAATTTGCCAAATAATGAAATGTTTGAAAGTGGAACTTAACTTTGGTACTGCCCGAAAAAGAAAGGTGGAACTTCTTTTAGAATCAGAGGGATTACTACATATGCAAGTTTGGGGTACACACCTCACAGCTAGGGATGGACCCGTCTCGGGCCGGGTCAGGCGTTATTGGTTCTGGAAGAGTGGAGCCTGGTCTGGCCCAGTATGTTTCGGTACCGGTTCCGGTCCGGGCCTAAACAGTACCAGACCCACGTCAGTACCCACTCAATTTTTTTTTTGAAAAATAGCCGTTTAGCCCGGCCGGGTCCAACAAATCAAGTCCGAATCCCTCCCCTTATAACCACCAGTCCGGGTACTGGTTCGGTACCAACAGTACCAGGTTAAAGTCGGTCCCGGGTCGGATCGTCCAGACCCAATCCATCCCTACTCACACCTCATTAAAATTTGGGACATTTAAATTATGTTTCCCTTACTTTTTTTATTGAATTGGCTGAAGTTATTTTAAACACAATTTGCTATGATCCATATAGTTTTTCTTTACCATATTAACAAAATAAATTTTAAATATTTTTTTTCATAATTTAACAGTTAATTCAGTCCAAATTTATCAAACGGACAATTAGTGTTTGCGCTATGGTGTGTCAATTTTGAAAAAAGCGTAATGGTGCCACACAAGATGTTTAATGTGTGATTATTGACAGCCCTCTCCACTAAAAACCTCCATTTATGGGTTACCAGTGTGTATAGATAGATAGCCATTTATAGTCTTTTACCAAACAAGTGTTCCCTTGATGCCGGTTGTTGGCTGGACCCGAGTAAGTAATTGCGCCATGCCTTTCCGCACAGTCACAATTCGGTGAACGGCTTGATTTAACGTCGCTTTTAGTCGCTGCAACGTAACGTAACGTTAGATCTCCGTTTGTCAATTGTCATCATCTGATCTTATAGAGAAGAGACATAAGCATGTGCTCTTCCTACTCGTGTAGTTTCCCATCCAACGTCTTCATACGGAACAGTACTCTTCCCCACCATGGGCAGCCCTATGTTGTTTCCTTTTCACTGTTTTCTTTTTTCTTTTTATTATTATCATCATTATTAGTATTATAACATAAATGTCCTTGCCGTTTTTTTAATTTAATAATGTTAAATCATACAATGAATTTTGTATTTAAATTATTTTCTTAAGTACCGAGTATTAAATTTCTACGGTTTGGTTTGATGTAGTAATTGTGTGATCCTACTAGATTTGGACTAAGCTATTGTAGCCTACATTCTTTCATTTCCCGCCCTTAAATGTTACCAATAAATATGACATGAGCAAAAATGTCACTTAGTAACTATTAGTAAGTGTTATGCTTAAAGTTTACATTATGATAACTTACACTTAGTTACTACGATGTAAATTTTTAACATAATTATAGTCACTAAAAGTTACTAAATAACTTTTTGTCAATCACATTTAACACAGTAACACGCACGTTGACCTTTTGCAACGAGATGTTTGACAATTTAGCTGTTTGTCTATAACAATTTGTAGGAAATGACCTATATATTTTAAAATGTTAACTTAAACTCCTGCTATTTGCAGCGTTTCCAATTGAACGTTCGCGTCTAAAAACACTAAGGTCGAACAACACAATGTTTTCACTTAACAACGCCATTTTCCTAATACCGATATAAAAACTATATACGAAGTAGTTATCAATTATCATTATATTTTAGGTATTAATTTATGTGCTTAATTAACAACTCAAAAGAAGTCTCTAATATAAACTGTTGAAGTTCTTAGGCTAAAGGGTCAAATAGGCCCTTGTACCTGTTCGGAATGCTCAATTCGCACCCTGAACTCAAAAAAGCTTCAATTCACCCCCTGAACTCAACAAAAAAATTCAAATCCCACTTTTTGCAGGTTAATTTCCGGTCATCGCCACGTCAACCGGTTAGATGCCAACCGTGCATCCCACATGGAAATCTATGGGGTCAAATAGACCCCTGAACCTGACAAAGTTGTTCAATTTACCCCCTCAACCGTTATAAAATATTATAATTTTTTTATAATATAAATTTTTTATGTTGCATATAATTAGTATGAAGTATAGTACGTAGTATATAATTCTAGAATAGAATAATACGAAATATATATACATATATGCATGTGTGTGTAATTTTACATATAAATCTAAAACATATTAAAATATGAAAATAGTTTTAATGAATTTCTTTTAGTTTATTTTATATGAATTTACGGTAAATTCACATAAATTAAAACAAAAAAATTCATTAAAAATATTTCGATATTTTAAATCCATTTAATAAATCAACCATACATTTTTTTACAAATTAATATTAAATTTTGTATTTTGCGTACTATTTTTCATACATACATACATACATACATACATACATACATACATACATACATACATACATACATACATACATACATACATACATACATACATACATACATACATACATACATACATACATACATACATACATACATACATACATACATACATACATACATACATACATACATACATACATACATACATACATACATACATACATACATACATACATACATACATAAAATATAAAAAATTATTGTCATATTATCAATAGACTTGTATAT